TTTTGAATCTCGGCAAACTTTTCTTTTGAAGATTTTTCCAAATATATAAAATTTGTTTGAGCTTCTTCGAACATTTTGAAAAATCTGTTTCTTTCCTCTGTAAGAAGAATGACTTCTTTTTCACAAAGAGAAAGTTTTTTGTTTTAGCTTGAAATGCTCCAAATGACATGAATCAAGATTATCAATGATCTCTGTGTATAGATCAAGTGATTCAGAAGAATAAGAAGTAGAAACCTCTTGGTCATTTCTTTCAGAGGAGTCAGAGTCGATCTTTGCCATTCCACAGAAGAGCTCATCCTCTGTGTCCGATTCTTCCCAAGCAAGAAGACCCTTCTGATCATCTTCGTCAAAGGATTCATCAGTTACTAACTCCCTTGATTGAGCTAGCAGAGACTTCTGTTGATAATAGTCAGCCTTCTTTTTGTCGAAGGCTGCATTTCTAGGACCCCTCTGTGGAGCCTTTGTCCCTTTTGACCAGCAATCTGCAGCAAAGTGGCCTGGTTTGCCACATCTAAAGCATCATTCTTTCGACTCTTCCTTCTTCTGCTCCTCTACCTTCTGTGAAGGCTTCTGCTCCTTCTCACTTGCCTCCGATCTACCACCCTCTGTGAAGTTTCTTCTGTTGAAACTCTTGTACTCCTTCCTCTCACCACCCTTTCTGTATTCTCTGGTGATTAAAGCCAGATTTTTCATCATCTCTTTCATCGTGACTTCTTCATTAGAACTCTCCTCACTCTCTGCTATCAGGATCTTCTTCTTCTTCTTCTTCTCCTTATCTTCCTTCTTTGTTTCTCTCCCCTTTCCAGAGCTGCCATCCTCTGCAACCAGAGCAAGCGGACCACCGTAGTTCTTCTTCGTTTGTTGAACTTGAGGCTCTTGACTTTTAAGAGAACCAAATAAGTCAGCCAAAGTCCAAGCTTCTAAATCCATGGTGGCCTTCATAGACATGGTTAGGTGCATCCATTCAATTCCAAGGCTCTTCAAGAACAGAGAGTTGTTGTCCTCTGCCGTTCTCATTACTCCATACYTTTTGCAATTGCTAATTAAGGTGTTTAACCTGGAGTATGTGTCCGACAGGGATTCACCCTCCTTAGCCTTGAAGCTGTTGTATTCATCAATGCAAATTGCTCGATTGTTCTTTAGAGTTTTCTTACCTCCTTCAATCTATTTTTCCAATTCTGCCCAAATATCCATGGACAGTTGGCAGTGATCAATACATTTAAAGATCTCGTGAGGTATTGCCATGATTAACAATCTTTTGCACTTGCTGCCCAAATCAACCAATATCTTGTCTTCATCGCTCCAGTTAGCAATAGGTCTTGGCTCGTAATGCTCAGGAATTTCAGGAGTTGTGCCAGTAGCTGGAACTCTTGGAATTAAATTCATTAGCACATAAGGAGGATTGTAGAGAAATTCACAAATTCTAGGGTGAATTCCCTCTAAAAAGTTGATCATTCGCACCTTCCATTGCGGATACTCCTCACGGATAAGCGTGGGAGGTTTTGATTGAGATCCAGTGCTCATGAACGAGCTATTGGCCAGGTTCGCCATTGAAATTAGAAGAAGAAAAATAGGAATAAGATGAAGCTGATTTAATAGAGTAGAACAGGGTAACCTGAAGAAGACTGGTGTTCTAGAAAATGCAGATTAATACCAAAACCAGAATTAATCGAATAAGAATTCAATTCCTGCTCTGATACCAATTGTTGGACCTGTAAATTCAACTTTGATATTGATCTATTACTCTGAATGAACTTTAGGACGATTAAAGTGCAGCGGAAACAATATTAAGAACAAAACAGAGTAAAATAAACCAAGAACACAYARTTAAGATGATGAAGAAGATGAACACAGGAGAATAGCTTCAAAGGTTTTTCAATTCAATTGAAAATTAGACGATTACAATTCGGAAGCACACTGAATAGAAAGGCCTAAGCTGCTATTTATACTAGTCCCTAACGACCTTACTGACATGATCTAGAAAGTGAAATCATCTAAGCCGTCCAAATAAAGTCTATTAAAATCTAGTCATGTAAGAAGCACATGCAGCTAACAACCTGTGAAAAACAGTAGAACAAGATCTTCACAGAAGACTAATCCGCAGACCCTCTGTAAGCCATCTCAGAGGCTCTGCTGTAATTGACTTGTATGATCTTATTGCCAGAGGACCATTTTSCAGAACCTMTGTGAGAGACATCAGAGGTTCTGTCATTCTTGACTTGCACGATGAAACAGCTTCTGATGGTAGTCCTCTGTTGTCTTATGTGGAAGATACCCTTCTGTCAACACTTGCAGAATACTTTTTCATACTTTTACATTAAGTGAATATTAGAGCTAACAATCTCGTGTACAGAGCCTCTATATATACTATACAGAGCTTCTGTCTCAAGAAACTTGGATTCATGAATCTTGCATTCTTGAGATGTCAAGTTTCGGATACAGAGTCTCTGTATGTACTATACAAAGCTTCTGTCCCTAGAAGCTTGGTATCTCAATCCATTGATGCATTTGAAATCCCATGTGTCCTAAGAAACTTAGCATCTCGCTATGTCAAGACCTTCTGCATGTACTATGCATAGCTTATGTATCGATAAATTAGGTGTCTCACTTTCTATGACCCCGAGTATGTTGTTTTCAATTTTTTTCTCTAAGTACTAAATTCAACACAGACATATTTTCTCTCTTATTACAAACTGTGATTGAAAAACACTTGTCATTTTTTTCTAAAAGAAGGCATAATTAAAATACAATATTATAATAGGAGGTCACATGCGGAAGGCCATAACCTGTATCCCTAATTTTTCAAATAAGGGAGGCGGGATGTGCAAATTGTCAGACCACGTGTCTTCACCCCACCGGGTCTGCTAGAAAAACCTTTCAATTTCGATGCTTGGGACATAATAACCAATCGAGTGCCCTAGTAAATGCCCTATTTAAGGAGAGATAATCCCTAGTTCAAATTTTATTTATGCTTTCAAATACTTCAAAATCTCTAAAGAACTGTCAAGAACTCAAAACCCGCAATCAAGAACTTTCTTGAAGAACCCTAATCTCCAGAACCTGCAAATCGCCCCTGTTCTTCAACAAATCTCAAGATTCCAAGAAAGTTCTTTGCAAAACACCTGCTCTCAAAACCCTAACAAGATGATCAAATCAAAATCTGCTCAAATAAATTTATATTTAAAATCAAAAACCCAAAAAAAAAGTTCTTAAAACCCTAAAACAGTTATCTCCTACTCCTTCTTCAAAAACCTGCAACCATGTCTTCCTTAGAATCAAACAACTCGCTAACCCACACTACCACTCTCAAATCCATTGAGGGGATGAACCACAATGTGATACCCCTAACTTTGAAACCAAATAACCATGCCCTGTACCTCGTCTTGGATAACTTTGATTCCAAGTATCACCCTATCTTGGACATTCTCCACCACCACTTCCTCAACCCTGCCCTCACCAATCCCGATGACGTCGTTCCTGAGCGTTTCATTTAGAAGTTTTTACAATCTTGTGAAGTCACGGAGAACTTAACAAGGGGTAGTCGAGGAATACTATCTCCCCGAAGGCAAAGGGTACGTTAGCGTATGTATTTCCAGATCCCTATTTTCCCGTGTTCTTCAACTACCAACCAAGAACAATCTTGGTTTGGATGAGTACGCAGCTCTCCCAACCGAGCATGAGTTGGTCGTATTCTTGAAGATGCTGGTGTACAACCAGCAAATACGGTATCTGTCCCAATACCATCGCCATTTCTTGCCCCCACTGTGGAACATTCTGTTCACATTGATGAACCGCGCCCTCACTGGCAAGATTGGGAGCCTAGACATGTGCTCGACGAACATTTTCCAGATCGTCTACAGGATCTTCTTTGATCTCCCACTCGACTACTCGCTTATCTTATACATGAAGTTTAAGGTGGCCGTGGCAAAGAAGACCCTTGATATCTCCAAGAGAAAGGACTTGCCAGATCTACTCATTCCTTGCTTTCTAGGCCTTCTCCTATGGCCTAGTCTTGAAGAGAAAAATGTAGATGTCTATGCCTTTCTAGTGGACAAGGTACATGTGCTCTCTACCTACCGCCGAACTCTACCAAGGATGGGTACCCAGCAGAGCGACCCATTCCAACAAAGATGATCACCTATATGAAGACGAGGGAGGTGCGAAGAGCTTAAAGACATGTACGCGAGAAACTAGAACTAGTGCCTCGAACCCCAACATGAATACGCGCAACCTAAGAGGGAGGGGAAGTAGAAAGACTCGTTGATAAGAGGGAGGGGCATGTAGGAAAAGCCCAAAAAAAGAACGAGAGGGCACAAGAGCATAGAGAGAAAGAGAGAGGGGGAAAGATAGTTAAAAAGGAAGAGGATGGAGGAAAATAAGAAGGAAGAATAGGTAGCCAAGAAATCAAAGGCAACCTAAAAATAGACAGAGAAGGTAGAAAGAGAGAAGAGAGAGAGGGAAGAGAGGGAGAAGAAGAAAAGAGAAGAGAGAACAAGAAGGGAGGAGGAAGAGAGGAAGAAAAGAGAGGAGTCTCTACATCAACAAACAGAACATTCATTAAGTTTTGACGCACAAAGCTCGGAGGGAGAGTGAGGAGGAGAGCTCACCCGAGGAGAGCTCTGTAGGTGATGATGGAAAGGAGGGAGGTGCTGTCTTGGGTGAGGAAGAGCCAGAGCAGGCTAGGGTACACAATAGAAACACTAATATTCCTATCCCAAATCCCAATGGAAGCACAACCTGATCTAGTTGGTCAAGCAACAACGATCAATGAAACAAGGCGCACACCTCGACCCCTCACCTACCTACCCAGCCAGAGGTCGCATCTGCCTCTGGCCATCTAAGCTAAAGGGAATACACATTCTAGGATTCATCCTCTCGAAAGGATGAATCCTTTAAAAAGATATGTGGCATGTCTCCCTGTGCCATGCCACTCTCCCTCACAGAGGAATTCGTTTCCTCTGCACTGGCTTCTTCCCCCCTTTGTTCAAAGTAAGGATTAGGTGCACACGGCTTAGAGACTCTCAACAAGTCTCCAAGCCCACTATGCAAGGGCTCTTCATCAGACTCTGTATCTAGCGAGGATGTTCCTCTTGACAAAACAACTGTAGTGCCTTCTCCTTCAAGAGAGGCACGAGGATCGGCTAAATATCCTTTTACGTCCAACATCCAACAAGACGTATAAGAAGGTGTCCTTGGACTAAGGATCAACTCTGGCCATGTGTTGAGCCAAAAGTCACCCCCACGACATATGTCAGAACAGACGAGTTCCAGTCCTTTGCCATGTTTGTGCTCTTTGGAAGAGCTTAAACTCAACATGGCTTGTGTAAGCTATTGTTTGAACCCAAATTCTCTTAATTATCAAAAAACACAGTTAAGAAGAATATGAATGGAATAAACAGTGTACTGAAATGATCAAACGAAATATCCAACAAATATAAGAACACTATGTGATTTTGAATAAGTCGGATGCTTTTATTAGATGAAAAAATAATAACTCTCGATCTAAAATGTATTCTCACAAGAACTGGCTATAATCACGGTCTGCACTATTTAGATACTTGAAACCTGAGAAGAAAATAATGCCTCTCACTTCTGTACGTCCGTTGGTGGCATGGCCTTGATATTTGCCCCAAAGAGCTCAACGAAGTGAAGTGGGCCACCTTGAGTTGCTGCCTCCTTGGCTTTGCTGTTGAATTCGGAAGTGAAATGGGCCACCTTCTGGAGAAGTCATGTACAGCCCCATTCCACACATTGCAGGTAACATATATTTCACATATGAAAAATACATATTTGTACATCACTTAGGTCCTTTAGTATAAGAATCTACCATTACAAAATACATGGTCCAAAAATTCAAAATACAATTCTTGTACTAATCAACGTTTATCAATCAAAACTATACATCATAGTCAAATCTTCATGCAGATATGCATATAGAAAAATATCATATTTTCCCCTTTTCCTTATCGTCCATACCTCCTGCAATACATATTTAAAATCACAAAACGAGGGTTAGACCGAAAGGTATAGTGAGTTACCCTATTTATGTTAATGCAGGGTGAGAATCACCAAAACTTTTAAATAAAACAACTTTTCATATCTATACTACATTAATAAGCATTTAAGTCAATATCTTAATTACAACCTTTTTAAGCACAAGTTACAATCATTTTATGCAAGAATTTTAAAAATCTCTTAATTACAAATTATCATGCAAATGTACAAGTTATTTGTGCAACTGTTTCATACAATCCCAAATGCTAATTGAATCAAACCTTTTTTCTCCTTATCAGACTTCTAAAATCACTAATTTGGGCCATTTTCTTCTTATTCTTCTGTATCCGATTACTGCCTTCTCTGCTCTTGCAAATTTCAGATTTCAAATTTCAAATTTGAAATTTGAAATGATTCTTGAAGGGCCTGAGAGAGAGACTCGACCTCAAAAATATGATTCAAGCTTAGGGTTTAGGGTCATCCTCTTCGAAGCGAGACTCATCCCTTACTCAAAACGATTCAGGCTCATCCTCTTCGAAGAGACACTCTCTCTCCGTCACTCAGGCTTTATTCTCAGTCTATCACTCTCCAGGTAATCAATCGGTTCCATCGAATTTGCTCCGTTTCCATCGATCTATAGTCTCTTATCCAGGTAATCACTCTCCATCGATTTTGGTTCACTTTTTTGTACCCTCTTTCGCAGACTTCTTTCTTTCATATTCTCCTTCTTTCTTGGTTTGTTGGTTTGTTGCTCTGATGTTCATTTTCTTTTTTTTGTTGTTATCATAAACAGCTGCGTAGTTTACAACAGAGGAACAACTATAGTTGAATTGACAGAGTTTACAAGAGAGGAAATTTTGGGAAGAAACTGCCTGTATGAAGCCTCAACTTTTAGATAATTTTGATCTAAAAATATGCTTCTTCTTTTTAAATTTTATATTTGTAGCATTTGTGAATATCTATGTATATGGATGCAGTAGAGAATGCAAATAGTAAATTAACAATGTAGTTGATCTATCCAATTAGTTGACCTCTGAAGGATTTACAATTAGTTGTATAGACGGCTATTAGGATTTACAGTTTTAATTGACTTAATTCTTGTATTTATTATGTCTATCCAATTGAGGCTAAAACAAGCGGCAATGCATACATACCGTTGTGTGCCTGCTGTTGCAATTCATACATACCCCTGCTGCAATGCATATATACAAGATATAAAACATATTGTAGATCTAATCAATGTATATATTGTAGATTTAATCAATGTAAATACTATACTACCCCTATATGTAAATACTAACTTTTCTATTTTATGTAAATGCACCTATATAGTCCCAGGTAATCACAAAGAACTGAAAACCAGCACAAATCCCTGTGCCAACACTGCTTCTTCAAAAACCATGAGATCCTTTTTTTTATTACTTTAGGCAACACAAAGAAACAGTCTAATATCAACCTGTTTACAAAGCTAATTCTGTCTATTGCTCTCATAAAATGTCTTCTTTAAAATTTTAGAGTTGCCTGAATATCATTGACAAGCTACCGAGATTTGTTGCAGGAATGGTATATAGTGTAGTTGACTTTTGCAAAAAATTGTGTAGTTTGATTTGTTATTTAGTGTAGTTTACATTTTATGAACTTCTATCATCTTATGGTTTGTACGGTGTTTTAGGAAGTTGGTCTTAAACTAACTGCTGTAAGGGCCTATTTAAAACAACTCTTCATTGCTCTAAAACATCTTAGAAACTATGGCGTCCTTCATACCGACATTAAGCCAAATAAGATGTTGGTTCGTAATTTTAACCTGATTCTTTAGTTTGCCATGTTTTTGTTTTATTAATGTCTCCTTGATAAACGTAGACACTCTAATTCATATGATCTTCAGGTAAACGAGGCGAAAAATGTTCTGAAGCTTTGTGACTTTGGAAATGCTATGTTTGTAGGGAAAAATGAGGTCACACCGTACCTTGTGAGCCGCTTTTATCGTGCCCTTGAAATAAGTAAGTATTGTATCCAAAGGGTATGCTCCCTTGGCTGTTATATCCTCTTTCTTTACTCATTAAAATTAATATGTTGGTAATTACTACACCAACTTATGTGGAGCAAGTCATTGACTTGTCAAACATTTTGTTTATGTAGTTCTAGGTTTGACTTATGATCATCCTGTTGATATGTGGTCCATTGGTTGCTGTTTGTTTGAGCTTTATACATGGAAGGTTTTATTCACTGGTGCTACAAACGATGATATGCTTCGCCTTCACGTGGAACTGAAAGGTCTTTTTTCCTAAATCTTTATTGCTTAATTGTTTTTAGATAATCTTTGTTTTGAAGAACCTGTTACTTGCAATTGTCTACGGTTATATCATATTCAGGCTTTTGTAGTAACAAGTTTCTCACTTGTGTTTTTCTATCGTGGCCTACATAGACGAACTGTTGTATTTGGAAAAAAAACTTGCTTTTTGACTCGGTTAATCTTACTACAATATCTCTCCATGCTTCATCTTCTTTCAGGTCAATTTTGGTTCATAGTTTTCCTTTTATTTGGGAGTAAATTTGGAAAATGAAAAATGGAGAAGTAGATTCCAATGCTATGATCCCTACAAAGAAAACTATCTTTATGTTGTTTTGGAATCTACTTGGCAAATTGAAACTTGGTGTAGACTTTTATGTGAACAACTGATGCAGCCAACCAACTATCCTATGCTGCATCATCAAGGAAATTTTCTTATTGCAAACAGCCCCAAAATAAAAGTGGATTTTTTTCAACAAGGACCATTGATAAATGATGATGTTTGGAATCCTAATACTTAGATTCCAATTAACAATTATAGATATTGGAGAAGAAATCAATCCCAATGCTTGACTGTGTTTGTATCTCCATTTTATCATCATTTAATTCCAATTGATTTTGATACAGCAATGCCCATTTCGAAAAGTCCCAAATTAGCCTTAATATGTGTTATGTAAAAAAAATGGCTTTACTGTGATTGGGAAGTTTGGGCAAGGTGTTTAAAAAGGAGGCATCATTCCAATAACTGGCTTTTCTTGGATAAAGGGATTCATGAAAGCATATAATGATGAGAAGAAGGCTACGATTTCAATTCCTTATGCCTGTGGCTGTAAAATCAAAAGGGTTTCGATCGCTGTACTCTTGATTTGATTTTCCCCATTTTGATCTTAATGGTGCGGCAATGGCTGTAAATGTCAAGAGTGAGCAATGGCGATTAAGGGTTTGGAGTTTAGGCATAAATGAGGGATTAGGAGATAGTGACAGTTGGGTTCGAATTGATGATGGCAGTTTGATGAATTCGGAGCAAAGAATTGAGATTTGGAACTGCTTTGAACTACTGTTTTCATGTAGGATAGTCCTTCGTTCCCAGACTGCTGGAACCGTTTCTTTGATGAAATATTTGGGTTTCTGTATTGAGAAGGCAATATGGACTCTGGTTGATCTCAAGTTCTGTTTGGACTTTATTGAGTATGAAATTCTGGATTGGGCTTCGAAAAATGACTTTGGTATTGAGAAGGCAATTTGGGCCTGTATTAATTTCAAGATCTACGTGGGCTTTGCTGGTAAGGATATATGTGATTGGGCCTGGACTAATGAATTTAACTGCAAAGTTAACAAGGATTGGGTTGCTAATTGGACTCAACAAAATTGCCCAAAGTTCTGGTTTTGGGTTTTTTATTCCATTAAGCATATGGAATGCTTTTCTATCTTGGCTTGTTGGTTGTTTAAAACAATATTAGTTTCTAGAAATAAGCCTTTATTTTATGTATTTCCCGAACATTTTCTTGGGATGCATTTCACTTCTTTTCTTGGGGTATGCCTCTCGTAATTGTATTTTATCTTTAATTGAATAAAACTTTTCCAGGGTTCCATCCACTTTACCAAAAAAAGAAATGTCTTTTTAGAGTAAAATTCAACTTAAGATTTGATAATTTTGTAATACTTGGAAATAAAAAACACATTGGATAGTTAAATGTTGCAATTTTCATGGAATAAATAACATATATTTTCCTGGTATTGTCCTCAAATGGTTGTTACAACCTTAAGAGAGGATTGGATAAAGAGCTGAATGTTTTGTTATCCTTACTGTTAGAAGATGAGATTTTTGGTAAGGAACATATGTAATAAGAGTTTTCTTACATTTTTATAAAAGGAATATTTTCTCATTTAAAGCTACAACTATATATAATGTTTCAGAATTGTGATTCACCCGCGCTGCATCGCGCGGGTACACCACTAGTATATTACAAATATATGAACAGGTAAGAACATAGTATCAATACCTTTCACTTTTCAAGCCAGATCTATATAACAAAATTAAACAGGTTATATTATTCAATTGTTACAAGGCTACCTTTAAACCTTTTTCATTCAAACAAGGTTTATTTCAAGTTTCAGGCCAAACCTGTTATCTCTTCATCTATAACATCCAGACTATGATTTCTATTAATAACCCTGATTCTAAATCTTTAAATCACAAAGAAATAAAGATTCTAAATAATGGTAATCTTAAGGGATATAATAGTAAGAGTTATATTACGAAATACACACATACAAATGCCACCCTTATATCCAAATGTACACCTCTTCTTGATGTGCCACCCTTATCCCATGGTACACCTCTCCTTGATATGTCATCCTTATCCCATGGTACACCTCTCCTTGATATGCCGCCCTTATTTCCTCATCAAAAATTTTCATAAAACAATTCCATATAGAATAGACCGCAGTTAATGGCATTTTATCACTTCAAAATTAAATTTATAAAAAATTGCCATTCTTTATACAAGAATATTAAAAATGACAATTGTATAAATAATACATAAGCCAAGCACAAATCCGGTCAACACAGACTTGGCTGGACTTCATCTCCGGTCAAGCTTTGGCCGGTTTACTAATCCAGTCAACACAGGACCCTTGTCCGATGTAAAAATTCGGACAGTTCTCTCTAAGCCTTGTCCGGTTTATCAATCTGGACAACACATACTCAAAACCTTGTCCGATTTAAAAAAAAATCGTCCACCTCATCGTCGTATTCCTACTTCTCCGTTAAAAATACATAACATATAATCAAAGTTCATAAATCGCCTAACCTTTAAACCGGTCAAAATATGTCTGGTTTAATGTCTAAACCGCTTGATTCTCATCTGGTTTAAGGCTACATCGCTCATGCCTTAGGCGATTTAGCCCTAAACCGCTCAAACCTTGTTCGATTTAAACCCTTAAATTGCTCACCCTTCATCCAGTTAAATATATAAATCGCTCAATCATATGACCGGACTGAACTTAAGAACAGGTAAAAAACTTTAAAACATAATTTCAAGATGTAACTAAAATGATTCAAAGCACTCACCTTTTGAAATTTTAGATGTATCTTACTTCAAAGCAATCCGATGAAGCTTCTCTCAGTTCTTAGGAACAATGGCCAGAAAAAAGAAAAATAGAGGTTTCAACCTCTTTTATACCCTTCCCAAACAGGGAAGGCGGTTGCCACACCCACATGCATGTATACATGCATGCCTCACCACACACACACATATATATACATATATATATATATATATATATTTCTCATTTATGCATAGAATTCGCATACCCACATAATCAAATGTACAAATTTATCATGCTGTCACATAATCATATATATCATATAATCAAGTATTTATTACCTTGGGTGACAACCAAGATCTGGTTATCACATTATCCACTCCTCAAAAAAATTTCGTCCCTGAATTCCTTTAATCAAAGAACCAAGGGTACTCTGATCTCATATTTGACTCCAATTCCCATGTCGCTTCCGGTCCTTTGTGAAACTTCCACTGAACCTTAACCAGACTTATCTCTTTGTTTCTCAATACCCTGATCTTTCGATCAATTATAGCTTTTGGTATTTCCATAAAGTTCAGCTTATTGTCTAATTTAACCTCTGGCATCGGTATAGCTAGACTCGGATCGGCCAAACATTTCAGCAGATTCGACACGTGGAAAGTGTTGTGAATCAGACTCAGTTCTTCTGGCAGCTCTAACTGATATGCTACTGGTCCAATTCGCTTACATATTCTAAAGGCCCCGCATACCTCAGACTGAGCTTACCTTTCTTCTCAAATCTAATGACACCTTTCCATGGCGAAACTTTCAACATCACAAAATCACATATACCAAAATGCTTTCGACGATTATCAGCATAACTTTTCTGGCGATCTTATATTGTTTTGATTCTTTCACGAATCTGTTCGATCTTCTCAGAAGTTTCTTGGACAATTTCAGGACCCGTCAGCTGTCTTTCATCTACCTCATTCCAACACAACGGCATTCGGCATTTACATCCATATAATACTTCATACGATGCCGCTTGGATGCTGGAATGGTAACTGTTATTATATGCAAACTCTATCAATGACAAATGATCTTCCCACAATCCTCCAAAGTCAATAATACAACTTCTCAACATATCTTCAAGAGTCTAAATAGTTCTTTCACTCTGTTCATCAGTTTGCGGATGATAAGTTGTGCTTAGTCGGATTTCAGATCCCAAAGCTTTCTGTAATCCTTCCCAAAACTTTGAAGTAAACCGACTATCTCTATTAGAAATAATAGATAATGGAGCACCGTGTCTGGTCACAATTTCTTTGATATAAATCTGTGCTAGCTTTTCTAAAGAGTACTTCTCTCTTATTGGCAGAAAATGCGCAAATTGAGACAGACGATCAACAATTACCCAGATTGCATCATACCCCCTTGGAGTTCGAGGTAACTTCATAACGAAATGCATTGTAATGTGATCCCATTTCCATGCAGGTATCTCCGAAGATTGAAGACTTCCATACGGCTTCTGATGTTCAATCTTAACCCGTAGACATGTCAGACACTGTTCCACATACTTGGCTATGTCTCTTTTTAACCCGGGCCACCAATAAAAAGGTTTCAAATCTCTATACATCTTATTGGTGCCTGAATGAATAGAGTATCGGGACTTATGGCTTTCATTTAATATAATGTTTTGGATATCTCCAAAACATAGTACCCACGTTCGCCTTTGAAAGCACATTAGTCCTTCGTCATTATGTTCCAAGGTTTAATTCATCTTACCCAACTTTTCTGTCTTAACAAATTCGTCTTTCATAGCTTCTTATTGACATCTCTGAATTTCCTTATGAATGTCAGGGACCAAATTCATTCTCATTGCCACAGCTTTAATGGTTCTACTCTTTTCTTTTATGCTAAAAACGTCAGCTAGCACTTTTGCTTTTCTCGGATGATAGAGGATTTCACAATCATAGTCATGAACCAGTTCAATCCACCGACGCTGTCACATATTTAATTCTTTCTGGCTGAACAAATGTTGCAAAATTTTATGATCAATATAAATCTGACATTTTGTTCCTAGAAGATAATGGCTCCAGATTTTTAGAGCG